GAAAAATAACAAACATGAAAATATAAAGACTTATTAATAAACAACTTGAAATATTCTAAGAAAAACAACAAAAATGAAAAATTTAATTTATTTTTGATAAAATCATGTGTATTTTAAAAATAATAAATTAACTTTACATTTTTATGATTTATCATTTTTGTTAATAAAAATTGTTTCACCGGATTATGAAAGTATATGTTCACATATTTTTTTAAGTAGCATATCGATTTCTACTTCTATGTTTTAAAATATTATAAATCACAAACACAATAAACTAATATCATCAATAAAAAAAGTGAGAGATGAATTTACCTAAACAAATAATTATTTTGAAGATTGTTATCATTATATAGTTAAATTATCTATAAATCATATAGAGGTCTAAGGAGAATAAATTAGATGTTTTTTTTTAAAAAAAAACTCAGATTTCTATCTTCATGAACATAAACAAATAATATTAATATATGATTCAACAAAGAAAGAGTTGTAATTATATTAGACATATCAAATTATTTTTCCTTGTAAACTCAAATTATGCAAGAATGTCTAACCATTTTCATTATAGATTTATCTTCTATAATCGGCAAATCTGATTAAATAAGTTAAAAAATTATCTACCAAAATAAATTAAAAAAAAGATAAAGAATAAGGAGAAAATTACATTTAAACACATATAATCATTTTTGACAAAACATAAATAATTCAAAAAGAAATAATATAATAGAAACATTACTTCTTAAGGACCTAAAAAAATAAAGAATAATCACTATATAGCTCAAAATCCATTAATCTCCATCTCTTAACGTTTTCATTTCATCTTATATATAAGAGTCAAGAAAAATAATAACAAATAAATTATTAGTCCTAAAATGAATCTCAAAGATAACAAATTAAAATATTACATCTCATAAAGGATAAGAAAAAATTACATTTAATCATAAATTCTGTTACATAATCATTTTGGACAAATAATCAATATATATAACTCAAAATCCATTAATCTTCATTGCTTGATGTTATCATTTCATCCTATATACAAGAGTCAAGAAAAATAATAACAAATACATTATTAGTCATAAAATAAATCTCAAAGATAACAAAACAAAACAATTTATCTAGAAGAAATAAAAATATGATGACATATTAGCCTTACTTGCTAAATAAAAGTAATATATTAAATAATATTTAAAAAAACAATGCACCTCAAAGCTTACAAATATTGTAACATTCCTTCCACTAATTCTCTACCCAAAGATGACTACAAAATAACACACAATTTAGGTGTAATTTTATAGTGTTAATGTAACATTTCACATTAAATAATTAGAAGTTATGAATATGAAAGGTTTAAGAGGTTATGAATATGAAAGGTTTGAGGATTATGAATATTATTAATACTAATTTAAGAATAGAATTTATATAATTAAATATATATAAATTTATTTAAAAAAAACTAAAAAAACAAATAAAAAATATCAAGTAAAAGAATGAAAAATAAGAAAAAATGAATGGAGCTCATCTCATTTAGATTTATATATAGATTCGATAATGACGTTTCGAACATCAATTATGTTTTGGGAAGAAATTTTGATTTGATAATTGTTGAGGTAATTTGAATGAGGAAAAGTGAAAAACTGAAGGATGGGAAAAATAAGCAAAGCTATATATACGCACCAGCAGTAGTGAATCTGTCGCGCGCAACAAAATGAATCACTCTTCGTTTTGTTCTCTAATCTTTGAGAAACTCAAATCTCCATGGCCATCATTCTTGTGTCCTAGGGTTTCTCTGTTCAAAAATGAATTCTCTCCCAGGCCATCTCAACCGCTTCAAGAATTCCCTGATTTACGACCAGCAAAAGCCCTTTTGGAAGCAGATTCATGATCCAAATGGCGAATTTGTTGGCAGATGGAATCACATTTTCCTCTTCACTTCCTTCGTCGGTCTCTTTGTGGATCCTCTCTTTTTGTTGCTTCCTATTATTATCGATAACTGTATGGGCACCGACAATCTATTGGGTTACGCCATAATAGTATTTCGCCTAATGGTTGATTGCTTCGCCTGCTTTCAAATCTATTTGAAATTCCGTACAGCTTTTGTTTCCAAAAAAACTCGGGTTTTTGGCAAGGGTGAGCTAGTGATGGATCGACGCTTGATCGCTATTCGTTACTTAAAAAACGCCTTTGTCATTGATGTTGCTGCTGCCCTCCCTCTCCCACAAGTCAGTGCATTGTTCATACTTTCTTTGTAATCATAGTAGTAATTTGATCGTAATGTTATATTTCTGGGTTTTTATGTTGGTTAAATAGGCTAGTATATCCATGATTAGCATCCACAGTAACAAGGTTCTGTTGTGCTAAGCCACCCCCTAAAGATATTGTTTTTCCCATTGAAAGCCCCATATTATGAAGATTATTGCTACATCTTATATTGTAGCTTCCACGATCCCTAATATACATCACCTCATGGGCTTATGTAGAGATTCATTGTGTGCCACCTATATCATCCAAGTATTTGTGGCCACCGTAGTCGAGAGGCTAGCTTCTTCTTGTATGTGAGCGTATCCAAGCTACCTTGGCCGGGTGAAGGTACTAAACCAAGTTTTACGCCATCACTTCACCATCTTTATACTCGTCAGGCCTAACCATTAGCCCACACGGTATATTCTCCAAAAAGGCTTCACACCATTAAGATTCTCTCTACACCTTCTAAATAGCTACATTTTCATTTCAGCAACCGACGTGAGACTTTTTATTTGCACACCCAACATTTTCTTTCTGTGAAATATTTTCTCATTGTGTTTGTTTTGAAGGCTGAACTCAATTTTTTAATGATGCCCTCTGTTTTTGTGAACTTCTTATGGGAAAAGAATGTTTAGGGGGTATGATGAATTGTATCTTTCTCATGTTTTTGGTTTTGCAGATTGTTATTTGGTTTATAATGCCATTGAATGGCTCATCACCCTCTCATGCTAATCATTCCATCTCTTTGATCATTATGCTTCAGTATGTGCCGAGATTTTTGGTCATTTTCCCCTTAAATTCAAAGATTATTAAGAATACAGGTGTTGTTGCAAAGACAGCTTGGTCTGGTGCCGGATACAATCTTCTCTTATATTTGCTAGCAAGTCATGTAAGTTCTGCAGTTTCTGATTTTTTTTTTCTTTTATCGGAACCATGCAAAAGGCTCCTCCTTTCCTAAACTCAAATTCTTATTTTGTTCATCATTACCTCTCAGATGGCGATCCTAAAAGGAACATTCTTTTTAGTGAGTAGAGAGTACTAGATATCAACAAGAGTCTAAGCTAAAGTCAGTATATAAATCATATACTGTTACCTCATCTGTAGCTTATTTAGGTACCCATAAACAAGACTTGACTTATTTAGGACAGGTTAAAAGTGACACTACCACATAATGGCATGCAGGGGGAGAATCAGCATATTTTGGTGTATGATAGTGAATGAGAATTGATCGATTAGAATAGGAGACAAGTTCAGAATGGAGAAAGAAAGTACACGTATTAAAGTGATTCAGTGACTGGGCCTCACTTTTCAGGCTCACCGCCAATGCTGTTGGAATATTTACATGAGTTGCGCCTTAAAAAAGGATCCTGCTGATAATTGAAGGATAATGGCACTAGGCTGTCCATACATTAGTCTTTTCAGTCTATCAGGAAGTCAGTTCCATCTGGAGTAGTAAGTGGGTGTTAGGTGGTTACAGATATTGCAATCGTTTTCGTGGTAGTAGCTAAAATTACATTTGGGTTTGCGTGAAATTTGACTGTGATGTGGCCTGTTGTAGTTGCTGATTGTGCTTTAGAAAAGAGAGGAGACAGTGAAGAAACTAATAAGCAGCATAACTTTCCTATGTTTCAAAGATGTGTTTTTTCATTGTTATTGATTTAATAAACGTTGTTATGATCCATGACATAACTATTACCTTATTGAGATTATTGTTTAGTTCTTTGGAGATAAATTAGTTCACAGAGATTAATCTGTTTTTTCAATTGTCAGTGCAGGTTTTAGGAGCTATATGGTATCTGATGTCTATTGAGAGGCACTTTTCATGCTGGACAGATGAGTGCGTGAAGAAGAAAAAGGGTTCTCCCGATTGTAATCATGACTACCTTGATTGCTCATCACTTAATAAACCTGGGCGTCAGGAGTGGTTAGAAACCACTGAGGTATTCAACCGCTGCGATGCTACGCGCAATATAACCTTTGAGTTTGGAATGTTTGGTGATGCAAATACTGAAAGAGTTACATCTGCTAGCTTCTTTGATCGATATTTTTACTGCCTATGGTGGGGTTTAAAGAGCTTAAGGTATTCTCTTCGTGGTCTCTCTCTTGATTTTTCTCAACAAGTTCTGTAGAAGATAGTCTGCATTTCAATTTAAAAACTCTCTTATCTAATGAACTTTGTCTGCACCTCCATAAATTCTTATCAAGTGGTGAAAAAGATACTTAGCAAACGATGTGGGTTATGTTGTAAGTCGGGGCCGAAAAGTTGTTTGTGTTTTCTGTAGACTAGATGAAAGACTCAGGAACTAGTCCTCGTGAGTCAGCTGACAACTTTTTCTCCTCAGAAAGATTTATGTCAATTGTTATCAGTAAACTGTAAAGCAAAATTTTCATCTCCAAAAACTTGTTTTTAAAGTTGGAGCAAACCTAATATCAGAGTTGTGCATTTATCTAAATAAATTTTGCAGAAGAAGAATATTTGTCATACTGTGTACACAATCATACAATTCTTAACCATTAATAAACAATACCCTGAAGAGAAGCCCGACTTAGTCAGCAGGTTAAATATTAGTTTTTTCTCTCTTCAATTTTAAGCATCTTAGTTGCAACTTTAACTCTGGTCATGTCATGAGGTTGAAGTACTGAACCACAGTTTTAACTCCTTTGAGAAAAAAGAAAGGAGTCTTCAATGTGGCATGAAATATTTCGTCTTTTATATTATACGAACTTGAAAAGTATGAGAGATATTTGCTGTAAGAGTATTACCTTTTGCATTTCATTTAGATTTATGCTTAATGGATCCTTCAATCTCTTCATTTGCAGTTCATATGCACAAAGTATTACTACCAGCACTAACATTGTTGAGACGCTCCTTTCTAGTCTTATTTGTCTTCTGGGTTTGGTCTTCTTTGCACTGCTGATAGGCAACATGCAGGTAATTTCTCATGTGAAAGACTAAATTGGAATGTGTATTTTTATAACCTTCATGTCCAGGCATCTCCCACCAGCATAGGTATTGGGTAACTCTGTCCAACAAGGTTTGGACAGATGGAAAGAAATCACATAGGTTTTTACTAGGTGGAAGGATACTGAAATGGTAGACAATGACATAGTTCCAATACACGTTTTTCTTTATTATCTTTTTAAACAACTTATTAAAGCTGAAGTTTCTTGTGGATGACCAGTGTAAAACATTACTCTAATTACTTATTTGAGTTGAGGATGCAACTATATCTACTGACTTAAAATGGTCAGTTATAGGAACTCATTGCTAGTGACTTGTGTACTTATTCATCTAATAAGGATCCAGGTTATGTCCACAGGAAGAGATTTTTTCTTCCTTTTGGGGAGTGGGGGCCAGGGCAAAGGCGGCACTATTTCAGTCGAAATAAATATTTTGTATAATTCGTAAGTGACACTGTTTCTACTATTGTATTTTGTGAAGAGCTATCTACAATCCATGACAGCAAGACTTGAACAATGGAGAATTAAAAGAAGGGACACTGAGGAGTGGATGAGGCACCGTCAGCTACCTGAAGATCTGCAGGATCGTGTTCGTCGATTTGTTCAATATAAATGGTTAGCTACAAGAGGTGTCGAGGAAGAAGAAATTTTACTTTCCTTACCCTTGGATTTAAGGCGTCAGATTCAAAGGCACCTCTGCCTGGCACTTGTTCGTCGTGTAAGTTTTTTGTCTCATTATTGTGAAAACATTTCGATCCATTCGGAGCCGTGCAGTTTGTTAAGGAGCTATCTTGTTTTGTTGACTAAAATTACTTTGTTGAGTAACTTTCTGTAGAAAGATTTTTGAGGTAGGTCCAGCTTTTCTCCCTTCATTGCACCCATTTTTGCACCAGGCGATAAAGTAGCACCAAGGTTAACGAAATCTAGATAGCTAGTTTTAAGAGTCCAAGTTGTGAAAGAGGATAGCAAAAATCATCCTTTCTACTGATTTCAATTGGATCAACCATCTGTTTTGAACTTCAAAAATTTCCATATTATTCTTATATTTTGTAACTTCTCTCTGAATTTTTCAGGTCCCTTTCTTCTCCCAGATGGATGATCAACTTTTGGATGCAATATGTGAATGCCTTGTTTCATCATTGAACACGAAAGACACGTTTATTGTTCGTGAAGGAGATCCAGTAAATGAGATGCTTTTCATAATTAGAGGTCAACTTGAGAGTTCAACAACCAATGGAGGAAGGTCAGGGTTCTTCAACTCCATTGTGCTAAATCCGGGTGATTTTTGTGGTGAAGAATTGCTAACATGGGCCTTGGTGCCCAACCCAAATCTTAATCTTCCATCTTCAACTCGAACAGTGAGATGCCTTACAGAAGTTGAAGCATTTGCACTTAGAGCTGAAAAGCTCAAGTTTGTCGCAAACCAGTTCAGACGCCTCCATAGTAAAAAACTACAACATGCATTTCGATACTACTCACACCAATGGAGGACGTGGGGAGCTTGCTATATACAAGCTGCATGGAGACGCCATAGGAGGAAAATACTAGGGGAAGAATTATCAAGAGAAGAGAGCTTGTACTACAGGGGAGGGATGGACCAAGATGACAATTATGGTCGTGAATATCCAGAAGCTGGTGGTAATGCTTCGGATCAGGCAACAGAAAGCAGTACTCAGCAACTTGGAGTATTGGCATCAAGATTTGCTGCTAATACCAGAAGAGGCAAGACGGGGGGACGTGTGGACTCTGGTGAATCCAGCTTAGGTATGCCTAAACTTTTTAAGCCTGACGAGCCTGATTTTTCTCATGATCCTAGTAGTTGAATCGCCAGTTCTGGTTTTTGGGTTGGAGTTGGTAGATAGGTTACTTGTTGCTCTGTTTCTTGTTATACAAAAGAAACCATTCATTCCAACCCATGCGCTACTACATACTAACTACTTCACAAATGTAAATCGACCGCTAGCTTTTTTAAACCCCAGGGACTCTTTTAGTTACACCAAATGGTTTCTTGCAAATCACTGTTACCAATGAAAAATTACAGTTATTTGATTGATAAATCAAATCCAAGAAGTTGTTATAGATAGACTATGAAGCCCTTGAATATCTGTTGAAATGTTACTATAGAGCCTGACTTATTGTACAGTGTTCTATTGCATATCAGACTTGAAAATTATTCCAAGACTTGTCACCGCTATCTTGTGATTTCTCATATAATTAGCTCTGCGCTCAAAATCAGGTTAATATCCGACCAAAACATCATGTTCATTGAGAATAAGTTGTAATTTGGTTTTTTTCTCTAGTTCGTTTTGCATTTTGGTTAACAGGATCTATACCTTCAAATTATACAAAAGTTAGTTAGATAGAACCGCCCATCAGACATTTGTTGGGATTGAATGACACTGAGCCGGCAGTTATCCCTCCCCTCCACAGAGACCCAAATCATCTCATTGAACAATTAAAAGAATAGATCTAACAATTTCCGCAGATGAACTTCAAGTAATTAAGCAAATGCTTCAGACCCTACTACTAATACTTGCATTAGGCTAGGTCGTCAACAATCACATACAATAGAAAGAACAGAGCTCAATAGGAGAAGAAATGATTAAACGGATCTTGGTGGATTTGACTCCATCAAGTATATTTTGAGACCAAAGTAATATAATGAAAGATATATTTAAATAATTTACAGGATATATGCAAAATAATTCAAGATTTGATCCACAGATTGGGAATTTTTCTGGCAATAGTAATCTACAACCCATTGCCCTCTTTAGGATATAAGAATTACATCATACGTTGGCTTCCATCAAGCAAGAAATACAAAGACAAACAGATCCATGGAAAATCCTAGAAATCATCATCACATCTTTATTTATTACATAAAAGCTAAAAAGAAAAGATAAAGAAAAAGACAAACTTTTCAAGTCGACAGATTGATTTGGCAGCAAAAAAAAAAGGACCAACAAATCCGACCACCTAACTCGCCGGCGATTATGTCACCGACCGGAAACATCCGACGCAAGACGAGACGCGATTGCAGAATGGTACATGATATCATGAAAATTAGAGCTCTGCATCGTCTTTCTCCTTAGCTCTTTCGCCTTATCTTCCGTGAAACCTCCCGGCTGAAACTTAGATCTGCAACGACCCGTTTCTGGATCCGATTTTAAACCCGAAATCTCCCTCACCGGCCCGGTTCTAATAGCGCTACTGCTGGAACCGGAATCGATATAGTCCGGTTCAGAGGACCATCCAAAGAGTGGGGTCCACCAGGATGACCCGGAAGTTGGTTTTTGACGGTTCAAATCGGGGTTAACCCGATTAACAGATGATTGAACTGGAGCAGAACAAAAACAAGAAAATGAAGTTGCCATTGTTGATGGTAAAGAGAGAAAATAGCAATGCTTTTTTTGATGATTTAAAGTGTGTGTTTTGATTGAACCGTTGAAGAAGTATGTAAAGACATTGTGAAAATAAAGATAAGATTTAATACGTGGCTACACCTTTTTTAAGTATTTGTTTGGTTGGTCAAACGTTCAACTTGGGTTTCGCTTTTACACTTTTTTCCCTTTTCATGATAACGATGTTGCATCATAGATAATATTAGGTATTCATGTTTGGGCCAAAACTTTGGGCCAACATTTTAGGAGGTCTTTATTGTTCTAAGCCTTTTCTCTTTAAAAGTCACAATTGTTCTGGCTCCTCGTGAATACGGAATACTTTGTGTACCGCGCATTTAGATATTTTAAGTAGGCCGAAACAAAGTTGATTGATGTCAAACAACGGTAAGAATGAGACACTAGTGGTAACTAAGGATATCGATGATCCTTGGCAACGAACAATTCCGTTGTCTGCTTAAGGAAAGATCAAATTTCGGACGAGTTTCAGAGAACGACAATAATAATAATAACATATCTAGTACTCTCATAAAAAGTGGGGTTTGGCTAGGGGAGGCATTGGTTGGTAGCCATTTTTCAATAATACAAGCAAAGTTTTAATAGAAGGAAAAGGAAGTCACCTCCATGATAAATTTTGGTAAAATTTAAAAATATACATATATATGATTTTTAATAAACTATTAAAATGATTTACAAAATTATTTATGTACAAACTTTCCATTAAAAGCTTTAGTTGTTTTATAGACAAGGCCATGTGCATATATATATCTTTTGGGCTCGTTAGGAAGGCCTGGTTTGATTCCGTCATTTTTTTGGTCCAAAAGTTACTTCAGGGCCGGTGGGCTTCATTCACATTGTAGTGGAAACATTTTGTACATTTTCTATCCAATTTAGGCCATTCAAAGTTATTATTATTTCTATTTATTACTAACTGCCATAAATTTTCATTGTTAGAGTCAAATTTTAAAAAATTTAACTAACATTTTAGGATATATTTTTTTACCATATTGATATGTAAAAATTGTAACGTATAGTACTTTTTGTATAGTTTTTGAATATTTAATATTTTTTGTTTAAATAATCGAATTAACTTAATCTAATTTTAACTTTAAAAATAAGTCAAATTGACTTTCGAAAAGCGCAACATGAACAAATAAAAATAGACGAGTAGAGTTTTTATTAGTAATAGGTCATAAATTTAGTAGTTTTGATAACGATTTTTTTTTTGGTTATTGGATTATCAGTTATTAATGTATTTTCTTAATAGATTAATCATAACTGTATAGTTAATTAAATAATTATATTTATATTATTTTGTATATAAAATCCTTGACTTAAAAAAATTATTTTTGGATGTTTTAAACTCATGGTTATTCTAGAATGTAAATTTTTTTACTTTTGAGCAGGATGCAATTTGCAAATTCATGTTTATGATTTATTTGATTTGTCATTTCTAAGTGACTTTCAAAGTTCTTTTTTATTTGCATCAAATTTTAACTATTAAACCAATAATCAAACCGATAATAATCACTAACCGACATGTTTATATGTTAATAATTCTATAAGAATTTTGCTTATCTATAAATCGATAATCAAGATAAATTTTAAAATTGAACCGAACAGAACCGACTGATATGCAACCCGTAATCCAAACTTCTGTACATGTAACGCTGTGAATGCATATAGCTTTCCAGTTAAACACCCCACCATCACAAAAAAAAAAAGAAAAGGAATAGAGAAGAGTATGTGGGTAGTTGATGTATATCTCAGAACTATGCTAAAAGCAATACAAATTGTTCAATACAAGGTTTACATAAATTGTGCTGTTTTAATCATTGGTATATCAATATTAACAGAAGGTCCATCAATATTTGTTTCTGAAGAATTTGAGAATTTGCCTTTCTTGGACCAAAGCCAAATCTTTGAAACAGAAAAACTCTCACCTTTAGTCCTAGCACTGATTTTTTTCCCTTCTGCGTTAGCCCCAAAATTAGTGTTCTCACACTTGGCTTTTAGAATCTTCACATTAGGCAACGCTATTTGTAACTCTGAATCACCAACCACATATTGAAATGAACCCATGGAGAAACATCTCCTTGCATCTAAATTACAGCTGATGATTTCACCCTGTGTACTTTTGTCTTCGTGGTTTTCGACCCCTTCATTTATACTCTTCAATTTACCTAACCGAACAGAAAATACTCTGATTTCTCCAACATTGTCCGTTTTTTCATCATTTGCAATTCCATCTTCCAAATGGAAACTCCATTGTTCTCTTGATTCTATTGAGCCTAATAAGGAATTTCCCATAGAAACCGCGGAGCTAATAATGCCTCTACATAGAGGACAAGTTGAGTTTGACAGTAACCATGTGTCTATACAATGAATATGAAAAGCATGGCTACAAAAAGGGAGCAATCTGAGCTTATCATGTTCTGAAAATTCACATAAGCAAACAGCGCAATCAAATGGTTCTTTTAAGCCTTTAATATCTTTATAGAGAAACAGAGGCAGAGTATCAATGATAGCTTGGTCTACACCAGAATCATGCTGACGAAATAGCTGTTGAAGTTGCCTTTGAATAACTTGAGAACCAGATGATTCAGGGAATCTATTAGATTGAGAAATAGACGAAAAAGAAGAAATCTTTAAATAAAACCTAAGAAGAAGATGAAGAAGACCAAACACAAAGAACACAACAGCAATAATTACAATTACCCATAGGAGAATTGGACTGATTCTGCTCATGGATAACAATTTAGTAAAATGGAGACAAAGAGCTTAAAAGGGTAAAAACCAAATCTTTTTTTTTCTTCTTCCAAGAATTTTAAGATTATAAAATGGAGAATTTTAACACTGCCCTTTATCTGACAGGATAAAGAGAATAACAGAAAAATCAAGAAAACTGCAGATGCTCTTTACCTCAAAAAAAGTATATGAGATTCGATAAGTGGTGCAGAAGAATATGTGGCCAAACACAAGTGATTTGATAAGTTACTTGTCAATACTTACTATGCATAGATTGTGGGGAAAAAATGAAAGGCAAAGATGAGAATACTTATGAGAATATGAAGGCAGAGCAGTTTATGACATAAAATGACTTTTTCAAATATTGCCACATAGGTCTTTGTCACTGCGTCCTTTTTGTGTATTTTGTGGATACAATTATCTTGTTCCCTGGACAACAATGTCCCTCGTTGATTACGTAAGACTCAATTTATGTTATATAGTTTGATTTACTTTATAAATAAAAATAAATTATATATATTCATATGAGAATATAATAGATATTTTTTAAAAAAATGAATCGTAATAATTGAGATAGAGGGATTAGTTTAATTGTGAAGTCAATTTGTTTGGTTTGTTAGGAACTAAACTAATTAATGTTTCTACTACTTTCATTTTAGTAGTATATATTTGAAGGTGCATTAATCACGCAACCTTGCAACAAAAACAAGCTTTTCTAGATTAATTAATTAACTAATGGGTAGTTAAAATGATATTAAATCATTGCAATTAATGATTAAGAAATCTCCTATTCATATTGCCTTTTCTCCCATCTTCAAGTTTGACAAATATAAGTCAAGCCCCACAAAGAAAACATGCCATAATAGTTTGGTCCACTACTTTTCGTATAGGTGTATACGTATTATTTTAAGCCAAAATTACATATTTGGTGGGCATAATACATATATTGCATCCTAAATTTTACTTTAAATTTTAACTTTGACCTTCAATTTTCATAATGCACAAACATAAACTTTACCTATCCAACCTTTAAATAAATAAACACATGAGTCCTACCTGATAAAATACATGTAGGACGCCACGTAGGACAAGAAATTACATGTAGAACATGTGAGTCTATTTGTTCAATTTTGTACAAGTTTAAGTGTCTACTTATGCACACCCGAAATTGAAAAACATATATGTAATTTAAAGCCAAGTTAAAGGACATATTTATGTATTATGCCTATTTGGTGAGTTGGTTAAAAATAATTACATTCCATAGTCAAATATATATATATTTTTTTTTGGTTATTATTTGATAGCCGGCTATTTTTGTCCATTTGTCATTATAGAAAATTTGTAGTATTATTTTCTTCTGTATTGCCTCATTGTCAAGCCAGTTTTCTACTCATGGATCCTGGTAGGTCTACTTACCATATTATTTAACTTTGGCCTTAATTATGTATTTTTTTTGTAGCATTTCTCAATGATGGTCCCGTGATAGAGTGGAAGAAAAGAAAAGGACAAATTTGTTCAGTTGGTAAATAATAAAAAATCCTTCTTGAACTTTTGTTTTAGCCATTTGAAACTTAACGAGCCCCATTTATTTAGATTGGTGTCAGATGATTATATATACAATGGAGAAAGAAGCGCATGGGATATTTGTTAAGCAACAGAATCATTAAAGATGTTGATTTTAGCTTATGTATGTGGGGCAACTGCTACTTAATCTATGTGATGTCCATTGGGCATTAGAGCCTCACCGACAAATTTAAAGTTGTTGGAATACTTTGTCTGTTTTTCATGTTTGTTCTACTTGCCCAATAGAAAATATGGTGATGTTTCTTCAACAAGATTTATGATAATTTAATAACCATTTTAAGGTATAGTTGGATATAATTAAGTACACGTTTGGCCGTAGGATTTGTGGTTCAAATTTCACAATTACTTTATTTACGTTAATCTGCACAAATCTTCAATTTCAAATCATGATTTTAAATTTCAAAGACGTGATTTCAATTTTATTAAAAGTTAAAACTTGACCAATAAGTTAAGATTTTGAAAAAAAACTCATTATTTTAAATTTTGCACAAATAAATAGGAGTAAATGAATGTTTGACGTGAAAAGATTGTTCGTACATGAAGAATTATACTAAAGAATAGCTAGTTACTGCTATTATTGACTAGTAGATGTGTCCATTTGAAAGTTTGTAATAACATATAATAAAAGGAATATGTAGAGATATTGTTTATTTTGACGCTTTGAATGTTATGAAGTGTGATTTGCTCATTTGATAAGATTGTATAAGAGTTAGAGAAAGTATTGATAGTTTTTCATAAATTATGAGGCTTTCGTGTTAAACTAGAAGAATATAACTTTAAAAATCTAAATCATATGTCCAAATAAAATTTCAACTTCAAATCAAAATTTGAAATCTATGTCCAAATGGGTGAAATTTTCAAAGGTCATTAGGTTATCTAGAACTAGAAGAAACAGTTAACAAAATAAGGACTTATGAGCTGAGTAGTTGTGGAAATATTTGCTCTCAATCTAGCTAGATTCCATCTCCAGTGAGTGATTCACATTTCACACATATATCTAATGTGTAATTCTACAGGGTAACTGTTAAAAACTGTTAAAATATATTAGTGATGTGTTATAGAAAGCCAAAAAAGGATGTTAGACCTATAACTTAAATAAAATCTTCATTGAAAAAGTATTTTAGTTCTTAACAATTTACCTTATCATCCTGAATAAACACAAGAAAGCAAAAGAATATTTGTACTTAACAATTTACCAGAGTGATTTGTGGAGGAGCTCCGTAGCCAAATCAAATGATAGAGCATTTCTCCAAACAAAAAAAGTATAAATAGGAAATTTTGTATCAAGGCCTTTGGATTGGAGCCCTGTGTTTGATTTGTTAGCTGAACGCGGATACGGATTTCTCTTCGTCTTCCTTAATAGAATTGATGATGAAAGCAACTTCCTTCATGTTAGGCCTTGCATCTGGTGATGTATCAATGCATTTGAGAGCTACATGCAACAGATTGATCATTCTTTCTTCATTTGTACCATCTGTAATAAGGGACTTGTCGAAAACTTCACCAGTCCATTCCGCTCTAACAACTGAATTTATCCACCTAGACAACTCATATCCACTAGCCTGAACAGGCTTCCCTGTGAGCAATTCAAGAAGAATCACTCCAAAACTATAAACATCCATCTTGAAGGTGTTACGCGTAGTAATTGCAACTGAATCGTCTTCTCTGATGCTATGATCACTTTGAGCAACAAATGACTGGTCATGATTGTTGGGCATTAGACCATACTCGCCGATACAGGCTTCCATGTCATCGTTCAGTAGAATGTTGGTGGATTTCATGTTTCCATGAGGAATATCGTCATTCTGAAGGCCTTCATGCATGAATGCTAAGGCCTCTGCGACACTAGCTGCAATTGCTAATCTGCTCGCCCACTCGAAAACTTTACTGCCCTGAGATGCTGAAATGAACAGTTATGCAGTAACTTACCTTTCGTTGTTCATTCTCAAAGAATAATAGACAAACTAGTTACTACTTGATTATTTTTAAGAGTTTTAAGTTCTATTTACTGACTACGTAAAAGATACTGATACAATCAGATAACTTATCTCGCTACCCAAACTAATAATACTAATTAGTATACTTTCTTTCTTACTTCAGCAACCGACAATGTGTTGCTCAGACTTTTCAAAAATGTCAGACACAGGTGCGTGTCAGATCCTCCAAAAGTAATGTTTTACTGGAGGATATGACACAGCTGTGGCAATATTTTGGAGAGTCAGAGCAACGTAGACTGACAAAATACTTAAGATTTTTACTTAGCTAGACCCTGAATCTGGAAAGTGAACTATAGTTATATCTAACATATTCCTTTACTGATATCAATTCTTGATAGTTGTTACACGAAGACCTATTATCATTCTATGGGGAATTCAAGTGAAGAATAATTAAGTTCGCTAATAAACTTACAATGGAGATGCTTGAATAGACTGCCATTCTGTTGGTACTTGTAAACTGTTAGCTTCTCTTGTTTGGAACTGTAGAACGCAACAAGGGGCAACACATGAGGATGCTTCATTCTATGTATTCTCTGCATCCTCTTCTTGAAATCGTCTTTCGAAATATTCCAACCACTGATCCTCTTTACTACCAATGTCACTCCATCAACATTGACCTTGTAAACACTTCCATGTTTTCCTTTCCCAATCAATTCAGCTGGAGCTCGAAGCATATCCTCGAATCTCAATTTATTAGCCAGAGGACTTGAAAGGATTTCAAATGATGCTGAGAGCATAGAGTTTTCGGGACTAGATGTTATTGAATATTCTGACCTATTTTTAGGAGTCTTTGTAACAACAGAAGAGCTTATGATAGTCTTGTTCTGATCCATTGGACTACTATTGCTCTTTTTCTTCCTTATGCACTTAAACAACTTCCATACAAGCAGAAGTATGATAATCAGCCCAAGAATAGCATAGCCAAGATAGATAAAGTATGAAACTTTTCTCTTCTTAGCAACTGGATGGGGAGGTGGCAGTGGCGAGGGTGGACATATGCTTGGCAATGGCACTCCACATAATCCAGGATTACCCGAAAAACTGCTGGAACTAAAGTGGCCCTTGACATCAGGAACCGGACCAGTTAAGTTATTGTATGAAACATTGAATCCTACAAGATTGGAAAAATCAAATTCTGGTATCTGCCCTGTTAGCTGATTTCTTTCAGCCAAAAAAGTTATCAGCCCTGAGATTCTTGACATATCCGGTATCTGCCCTGAGAAGGCATTGTCTGAAATTACAAACCTCTTCAAATTGCTCAACCGCGAAATAGAGCTTGGTAGATTGCTTGATAATTTGTTGCCACGGAGATACAAATGTGTGAGACGTCTGCAGTTTGATATTTCTTGTGGTAATGTTCCAACAATTTCGTTTTCGTTCAAACTCAGTACAGCAAGGGAAGTAGCCTCACAGACAAAAGCAGCATCAAGAGTTCCAGTTAGATTCTTCTGATCAAGAACAATATTTTTCACATGTTGCGTTTTTGAATCACAAGTTATCCCTTCCCATTTGTTTGTACATGGATCAGATGATAAATCCCATCCAAAGTTTACTTCTTTCGATATGTTCCCAAGTGATATCTTGTTCATAAACTTAACTAATGCTTGTCTCACTTCCAGACTCTCTGAACCTGCAAGTACTAGCAACATTTGAAAGATAACACTCATGATTACCCATCTTGTACTCGGAATCATTGCTCGGTTGAAGTTGTTAAAATCTTTGCTTCTTCACCGCGTAATTCATAAAATGATTGGGTAATTGTCTATCTGCAACAAGCAGAATGCTACTAACAAAGTAGTACTATGATTTATGAAATAAGATATAGCTAAAGCTAAAACGGCCAATTGGCTTATTATGCTAAGACAAGGTCAATGTAGTGCAGAACAAAAAAACAGATGATGTAACAAAAATGGTGACTGAAGGAGAAAAAAACCATTAAAATATTGAAGAGGTAGGCCGGCAAAACTGTTAAAGATTTGCATGATTTCTCCTTCTAAGTTAGTTTCTATTTGGGTATACTGCTACAGATACATTAAGACTGTTCCAAATGGTCCTTTTTAATACATCACTCTAAAATTCCAAAACTACATTATTCTACAATCTTCAGAAGAACAATGTATATAAAATTCTAATCTAGATACTACGCCCAGTGCTTAGCATCTGGTGCATGGGCAAATTTGATTTTGGGAACCTCAACATCCGGTGGGCATGGTCAATTTTGGTTTTGACACTCCAAAATCGGATGAGACGGGCCGTGATATCATCTAAAATAGATTTTCGGCCTAACTCACACCCCAAAAGTTAGTTCAAAGGAAAGAGGTTTGTCCAAAACTTATAAGGAGTCCACCCATCTCATAAACCATCGATGTGGAACTTTTGTCATTCTTTAACAAGTTTTGAATCATAACATTCAAACAACCATTGTATATGAAAAAAGAAAAGAACAAATTGGTATTCAGCAAAAGCTAGTTTTGAATTACAATTAAACATAAAAGTGATTAATGCATGTCCTAAAACTACAAAAACAAAATTAATAGGCTTTTAATCTAAGATGTTGGGTTCAGCAATACTTGGCCCCTATAAAAAGTTACATCTGCCTATATTCCAAAAATCCATAAAAGGTTCAATGAAGATGAGAAATTAAAGAATTACAAAATTGGCTTCATGGTGATGTGTTTATGGAGAGAACAAGAGCTTGCAAGGCATGAATTTGCAGCCTTAAATGCATAATGTATTTAGCAGTTTGGAGGAGCAATTGATGTGAAGGCAATTGGCTAGCCCCTGGGATTAGCCTCTGCAGCTTCATCACTTTGTCTTGTTGGTGTTGAAGATCAAAATTATTATTATTATTGAAAACATGATACCCCATCTTCTTCCTCCTTGATCTCTTTGTTGTTTTCATTACTACATTACCACCTAGCCTTTTTTTTGATCCCATCTTGATTTGGAGATATTGCTTTTAATTTTAATAGGTTCATGCAAACTCAATGAACCAGCTATATAGACATAAAAAGTGCTATATAGTATAATGCAGCTGGCACAACATGTGTCAATTCATTGTGCATGTAATAAACTCTTGCATGTGATGCCTTTGGTGTGACACTTCAAGTTGATTCATTTCATATGCCTGGCTCTATACTTTAACAGCTACATCTTTTCATTTCTCCTCTAAATAAATAAATCTTCTTTTATATCATCAAACAAGTTAACTCCACCAACAATGTGTGGTGTAATGGATCAGATTATTCCTCCTTTTACTTTAGAAATATCAAGTTCGAGCTTTGACAATGAAAAATGATGCGTTGGTCAAGCTTCAATGCAAATATCAAAAAAATCAAAATAATTATGATAGTTACAACAAACATGATATTTAATGATTAATACCATGACAATTAGAATTACATTTTGATTACATTATCATGAAGTAGAAGAAGTGGATAATGAATAGTGGACATGTGTAGATAAGGAAAATGTGTGATGAGTGATGTCATGTGAGAAACAGATAGTGGCATTTGTGTGCTATGGCAATTGGCACATGCCTTGACAGATCTCTGAAATCTCATGCCCACCACCACATTTATTTTCACCATCCATAAACTACAACACCTCAACAAAATAAATTAGTAATAACAAAATTTCACTTTTCACACCTGAAGTTTCTAATTAGTTGTGCAAAAGATGAAAGTTGGAATAATTGTAGTTTCTTTTACCACAAAAGAATGTGCAAATTGAGAATTTGTTAATCTGTCTAATATCTTTGTCTGTTCTTGCAAGAATTTTATGAGTACATAAGGGTTATGAGGAAGAAACACATGAACAGCAACAACAATTGGGCTGGACTTGGAAAATTAGGCCCAAAAGATTATTTCATCATAAAATGGCATGTAAAACCTTCTAATGAATTGATTTTTTTTTAATTTGGAAAAAACTACATAAATAGGCTATAAAATCTAAAATAATAACATGGACATACCAATCCAAAGTAATTCAAGAAATATTAATTTTTTTCGAAAAAATAACAGTCCATACTCCATTCATTAAGATTGATAATTCTCATTTAACTGATACTAAATCAGTGTCATATATTGTATTAGTAGTGTCAGTAAGAACGACAATTTTCTTAAGTGATACTAAATCTATATATATATATATATATATATATATATATATATATATATATATATATATATAATGAAAAAATCATTATGTTTTTTTGATATGATAAAATTAATAAATAAAAGAAATAAATATATTTTAAAAATAGTAGACAAATAAGATTAAACGGGATGGATAATAACATAATTTCAACAATAAATGAGAAGAGACTAAAACTTACATAAAGGCATAAAAAAGAGTTCAATGAACGCAATATATGAGTAAGTTTCAATCTCATCGCATTTATCGTTGAAATTACAGTATTACCCCTTTTGTTAAGAAAGGCATAGAACACATTCAACGAATGTGATTTATTTGTAAGTTTCAGACTCTTCCTATTTATTGATGAAATTATGTTTTTACCCCTTCCGTTTAATATTATTTGTCCAATGTTTTTAAAATAGATTAATTTTTTTTATTTAGTACTTCTATTATATCAAAAAAAGATAATTATTTTTCATTTTACACTAAACATTAATTCTGCTGAGAAAGTAAGTCGTAAAACGCATTTAACGAATGTAATTTATGTGTAAGTTTCAATGTTTTCTCACTTATCGTTGAAATTACGTTATTACCCCTTCTGTTAAGAAAGACATAAAACACATTCAACGAATGCGATTTATGAGTAAGATTAAGTCCCTTCCCATTTATTGTTGAAATTACGTTATTACCTCCTCCGTTTAATTTTATTTGTCCGTTATTTTTAAAATATATTTATTACTTTTATCATATCAAGAAAAAACAATTATTTTTTCATTTTATACCCAACATTAATCAAGCTGAAAAAGAAAGGCATAAAGCTCATTCAACGAATGCGATTTTTGTGTAAGTTCAATCTATTCCCATTTATTATTGAAATTACGTTATTACCCCTTCCGTTTAATTTTATTTGTCTACTATTTTTTAAATATATTTATTATATTTATCATATCGAGCAAAGATAATTATTTTTTTATTTTATACTCAACATAATTTGAGTTGAGAAGAAAGACATTAGATATATACGTGTGAGCGCGTGTGCGTGCGTACGCGTGTGTGTGAATTTAATATTAATTAGGCGAAATTATTAGTTGTAGTAATATCAATATAATATATGATACTGATTTAATATCAACTAAACGAAATTAATTGAACATATATAATGTAATTATATAGTCAGGGTGAATGTAAAGAATATATATTTATAACTATTTTATTTTTATGAGGTATTTGCTTAATTTCCCTAAATATGTTTGTTTTTTTACTGATTACTTACACATAGTGGAACATAAATTTTTAAGAAACTCAAGTTATATTCGGATATAACTTGTGAATATTACAATAAATAAAAATATTAACTTATGCCTAAGAAGATTATTGTTACGAAAGATATAAAATAAAAAATCAGCACAAAATAGGCTAAAATTGCAAATGACCTGTACTTGATCGTGTGCCATCGAACAGACTATGCATAGGCATTGGTCCCTGTCGTCTTATTTTCTTTAGTGTTTGGTATTAGCTTTGTAATTTGATTAATTTAAATTGTGTTTAAAAATCTTATTTTGAGGATATAATATTTTTTATTAAAGATGATTCTATTAATTTTAAAATTTGAAATTCGAAACTTTAAGTTAAAGATGAAGGAATAAAAGAAGTATTTATTAGTAATTACTCCATCATAATTTTTATAGCAAATACAATAATATACTATGGTTTAATTATATACACTTCTATTTTATGTGTAAAATAACACACACATATTACTGAGAATTGCATTTAGAACTTTTTTAACGAATATATATATATATGTATACCTTTTATACTTACAATTTTCTAATAAAAATTTTTGCTCCTCCATTGTATGACACCAAAAGAGGGAAGAAAAATACTTTTGTGATTGGCAATCTCTTCAATTCTCTAACAAAAATTGTCTACTCTTCTCCGTCTCAATTTATGTGATATTTTTTATTTTTTCAAGAGTTAAACAATTTAAGTTTAACTGGAAACTCGTTCATGAAATCTTCAATTTTTTAAAATGAAATTTATATATTTATAAACTATATAAAAAGTACTATAAATCACAATAATTGACAATTCAAAATATTAAAAAATACATGAAAACTTTACCGCCAAAAATAAATTTATTTGAATAGCGAAATCTAAAAAATTCTACGTAATTGAAACGGAGAGAGTAGCAATTTAACCTAATCCATGGAAGGTTTGTCTTTACAATAGTCACAAATTGCTAATTAGTTGATCTAGAAGCTAAGAATAATAAGGATCATTATTTAGTTTTAATTTCGTCTACCGAAAGAATCTTATTGCACAAAGTTAATTAACTCACTTTTAGGCTTTTAGCACTTCTTAAATATTTTGGGCATCATTAATGAAGCCAACTTTTTATCATTTTGCTTAATCTTTACTTATGCCACCTCTCACCAACTTTAAAAGTGCTCAATAATTTACCTTTGCCTAGACATCACCTTTTTCTTAACAAATAACTAATGCAATACTTAGTTGGCGTGATTAGGAAAAATTAACCTCAAATCACTAGAAATAGCCACTAACTCTTAAACCAACAATCTTTTTTAATGGGGTCACGTATTAAACAATCAGAAAATTTGATTAGAACTTTAAAAGTTCTATCATATTTTTTTTATTTTAAAATAAATTGATTTTTTTTCAATTTTTTAATCAAAAGGTATTAAAGTTAAAAAGGTAAAAATGTTCACAAAAATAAAATAACATAGTACTTTCTTTGTCCCTATTTAGTTGTTTACCTTAGAAGTGACACACATATTTAGGCATCAATGATTATCATTGGTTAATTATAATTTTACCCTTAATATAAAAGATTATGCAACTCCTCAGATTTTGAATTCAAATATGCAGAATTTATTTTAACCAGGCTATATATTTAAAGTTTTTTCTTATGCTTGATAAAATTATTGAAAGATAAAACAAGAATATGATTTTTTCAGTATGAAATAACGAGAATATGATTTTTGAAAAGAACGCCTTACTAAGAATTCATATTCCATTAATAAAGTACAAATAAATAATATATTCTAAAATCTGACTTTTAAAAAATACACGTTGAAAAGAATCTAATAAAAGAAAATAATCTTTACATAATATGTTGTGTATCAACATTAGTCGCATAACAATTTATACGTTATTTCTCATGGCATAAAAAAATTTAGTTATTATTTTTTGTTGAATAAATAAACTCCATATTATAATCCTACATACCTATACCCTAACGCATTGACCAAATGACCCCTTAATGTGAATAACAACCAATTTAACCCAAAACATAACACAAGAATTAGTTCAATTAAACTAGCCATCACATATCACTAATCTATCATTCATTTCATCACCGGTGGACTCAAGATTTTCGTTTAAGAGGTTAAAAAATAAAAATATAAACATATAAATAAATCAACAAAATAAAATTTTAAGAAAGTAGTAATATATAGTTTATAGATAGAAAAAGTTAAGTGATTACAGTGAAACAAAAAGTTAGCTCTTTACAATATGTCAAAAAGAAAAGAGCTTACCTTGGAGAAAAGACAAATAATTAACACTTTTGATTTTAGCCTCTACTTCGATAATCGGAGATACTACAAGTCTACAATATTACAATATAAAGACCCATTTAATTTCTTGAAAATTGAAAGAAAAGGAGAAGAGAAAATGGTTTTACCTTTAAAGTAATAGGCATGAATTTCGATTTTCCAAAACAAATTTAATAAAGAATTCAAACATGAAGTATCAAATATGAAACAAATAAACTATAGAATATTACAGGGTGATATTCATTAGTTGCTAAAAAAAATTTCGTTATATTAGTAACTTACAATAGTAAACTTATTAATATAACTAATGAATTTTTTTTGAAGCAAAATTATTTCTTATTTATTATTAAGTTGGTGACAAAAATATACCAAGATTTTATGTGGGAAAGTGGTCCTAAATGGATGACCCAATTTCTCAAAAACTATAAATAAGTTAATAATGGTCCCATAAGAAACTTGTGACACTTGACCGCAATATACATGTGCCCTTCTTTGTTTTTGTGCATGTACGTAGGAAGCATTTTGTGTTTTTAGATATCGATAAATTATTTAGTTTATACACAAAATATAATTTATTTAACTTCTAAATCGATTATTAATTTGCTTATTTAGATGTTCAATGCATTTCAAATTAATTCGTACTTTTATGACATATATTTTAATCCATTTAAGTTCAAGTAATTTTTTAGCTTAATTTTAATTCGATCAAAGCTCAATTCAATCCGTCTATTTAATACATTCGATTTTTAAAGTACTGATTTTTCATTCACATGTTCTTTGTTTTTCGGCTTTCTCTTATATCGCTTTCTTGCTTTTCATCTTTCATTTTCCTTTTTGGGTTTCCTTCAAAGACAAGGATATAGTGGGACTATTGTATATCCTTTTACTAATTTCCACATTTGCCCATAGAAGGGGGTTGAAAATGCAGAATATAGTCTAAGTCAAAAATATGTAACCGTGGTTGAAATCTAAAATTTGAAAATTGTATCACATAAATTTAGATAAATATAGAAATATAAAACTATTAACACAACATACCAATTACCTGCGAAAAGTTTATATTAATTTAAGAACAAGCTTACATATACCAATAAGAAATTAAGTAGGTTAATTATCTAGCATAAAAAGATTCATCTAAACCTCGAAATAACAATTTTTTTTTTTATGTAAAATTACATGAAATGGAAAATAAAATTGTCAGTCTCATTAGTATTTCACATTTAATCTCAACTACAGTAATGATTGCCTACAAGTTTAGGGCGATAAATAAAAAAGCTAAAGGAGTCTAACTACCATAAAAGCAATGAAATAAAGTCTTAACTACCTAACTTGATGCACTTTAAATTACCCATTGAAATCAAAAGCATTCTTCTTCTTTTTTTTTTTTTAACTTTGGTTGTTGCATGGAAGCTACCACAATCTAATGAATGAATATAGAAAGAAATAAAAAAATATTTATCGTTCTTAGTTAATTGTTATTGAAGTTTATGTTATTGGTTTGATAAACATTAACAAAGAGTGTTGATTATTTTTAAAAATACATTTATAACAATAATTAAGTTATTATTATTATTAATTAATTGTCGCTAAAGATTATTTTTAATTTACTGTACACACTTCATTTATTATTGCTCAAAGGATGTTCAAATTTCATGTGAACAAGTTAAAATAAACGCATAGAGTTATAGTGATATTATAAAATCTCAATCAACTAATACCACATGCATATAATAGTTGCACTCACTACAACTACATGAAATTTGAAACTTGAACATGCACTTCTTAAATCCACTTTCTTAACAACTAAATTATGGTTGCTAATTTAAAATACACTACAAATTAAACAACAAATTTATAAAGCTATGCATATAACTAAATAATATCGTTTAAACAACATTTCTAATTGTATACACCCATTCTGTCCAAATCTATTTGTAAAATTATATTGTTCAATGAGACGTTGTTAATATACATTAATTAATAATGCAAATAAGTTTTTACTAGTTTCAACCTATAATTTGTCATTTTCTTAGGTTACCAACACATACTTGCTATAAAAGCTACGTGTAATTGACCTTTAAGTAGCACGACAGTGTAAAGAGTTTCTTTTAATTCATTGTATCTATAAATGTATATATTATGATTTTAATTTTATAAATGTTAGGTGTGTTCGAAATATAAACGATTTGAACGTTTATTTGGCTTTTGATAGATTGGTTTCGTATATAGTAAATTTTTTTAAGAATAAAAAAGGAAATGGGAAAATCATTAAATCTTAAAGCAGCAACATGATTTGTCAATAGAGCATACGGACAAACCAACGAAATGGGGCCTAATATTGATAATATTTCTAAACTCCGCATAAATTATTGATTTTATTTTAGAATTATTGACAGACTTAAAAAAATATCCATTAATTTGAGTAATTGAAATTGAATACACCCACGATCTTGTTGCGTGAGTGAATATATCCCTTCAAGTTTTGCTAAGTTTAGGGTTTTTACAAATATTTCTCTAGATTTTTTTATGAGAGCTTCCCTTCTACTAGAGTTTGAGATCACTCGTTGTATTATGTATCAGATTGAGAATGCATGTAAGTTTGGTTAGTCAAGTAAAAATATATTTTTAAAAGTGTCAATAATTTGAAGGACAAAAATTAATAATTTATGTCAAGAGCGATTGAAATTAAAAAAAAAAAAGAAGAAAAACAAAGACCCACAACTCATCTGTCACAGCCAAGAAGGACCCATTTTTAACTAATCCACTTGAAGGGTCTCTCCTCTTATTGTGGGAAATGCTATTAATTGCAAACTACTACTCTTCTCAAACAAGAAAAATTAGTAAATGTAACAAACGTATCGCAAGACCCACAAGAATTCAATACAAACACCATATCTGCAGTTTTTAGGTATCCAATTTTAGTAATAATACCAAATATCAAAGTTCCAGTTTTTATAATTTCCAAGAAGATTGAATAAAAAAGGTGACAGCTTTGCTACAGAGAGCCAGTGAATTGAGTAGGAATCATGTGATTTTTGCTATTTCCTTTCACTAGTCATTGAGTAGGTTTTTTTTCTCCTTGGGGTTAATATTCTTTTTTGGTATTTTTGTTCCATTTGGGGTTTGCAGCTTTTCTTGAGGTTTTTTTTCATGTTCGATGGCCTCAAGTGCTTCAAGATTCATCAAATGTGTCACGGTTGGTGATGGGGCTGTTGGCAAGACTTGTATGCTTATTTGCTATACCAGTAACAAGTTTCCCACTGTAAGTAGGGACTATTTTAGTATTTACTTTCTCTTTTCCCAAAAGATCCATGTGGGTTTCTTGATATGTGCCTCATTGCTTGTGTTTGATGTCTAGATACGCAGGATTTTGGTTTTTTATGTGGGTTTACCAGCTTTTTCCTTCTTTTTTCTGTTGTTGGTGTTTCTTCTGATTTTTTACTTTACAATATGCTTTCTTTTTGCCTCTGAGTGTCTTTTTGTAGCTTTATATAACCTAATCTTGAATGGCCTTCTTGGATTGTGTTCTCTTGGTATGCTGCATTCTTGCTTCCACCAGGTCACAAAAGTAAGGAGGTGGGGGTGGGGGAGAAAACTTACCCTAAGGAAAATGAAATGGTCACCTAATCAACTTTGGGGAATGTTAGTAGCTCAGTATGGTTAACTGAACTTTCACATTGTTGGTGAATTGTTGGTGAGGGTTTGATTCCACACCTTGGAATCCCCTCCCCACTTTTCCCTTTTAAAAAAAGACCGAATCAGCTAGAAAGAACAGAATGTTATGGTTAACTCGTGTGATTCAGGAGTATTTGTTGAGTTTCTTTCCTGAGCTTGAACTTCAGTTTTCTGAGTGGTTGTATATGTTCAAACCAGGACTATGTTCCGACGGTGTTTGACAACTTCAGCGCCAATGTGGTTGTTGAAGGGACCACAGTAAATTTAGGTCTTTGGGATACTGCAGGTAAAACATATTTTAATTACAGCTGATTTGTTACAAGATGATTTCTTATTTTGCCTCCTCAAAGTCAAGCAGTTAAATCCTGTAATAATCATTTCCTACCCCTATAAGGAGGCATAGGAATTCTGATTTAAATGTCCTGTGATCATTTTTATAGGACAAGAAGATTATAACAGATTAAGGCCACTGAGCTACCGAGGAGCAGATGTTTTTGTCCTAGCGTTCTCCTTGGTGAGTCGTGCAAGCTATGAAAACATACTTAAGAAGGTATTTCTGTTGAAAACAGTGAACTTTGTGAGTTTGTATCAAATGTATTTAAGATTGCTAAAATCCCATTTTTGGTCAGTGGATTCCCGAACTTCAGCATTATGCTCCTGGAATTCCGGTGGTATTAGCTGGCACCAAACTTGGTAAGTATTTAACATGTTCCCTGAAGCTAAGTTATAACAAATGCTGATTCTTGAATGTAACTGCTTCAGTTTAATGTCACTTTGTTCTATGATGTGCTTGCTAAAATGCTAATATGTCTACTTATAAAAAATAAATATAAAATGTTGATGTGTTGAATGTAGCTGTACTTTGTAGTTTTCAGAGTTTATTGTCGCTAATACTGTATTCAAAAGCGTAAATAACTTAAGGGGATTGCACGATGGAGGTAAAAAGACGTGAATACAGTATAACTTAAGGGGATTGCATGACCGGAGGGAGGTCTAGAGATGGAACTGGGGGCGTAATTCTACAGTAGACATGCTCAGTGCATCAAAATGGTCACTATAACTTGGTACTCTGAAAAAATGCGGCTATAACTTTTCTGCCTCAAGTGTTCTCAGGTACAACAGTAGAGTGGCAACTAGGAGGAAAGTAACCTAATTAATAATTTTCACATTTTGCATTTGTATGACAAACCTTCTTCAAGTTGCACTCACTACATATTTTCTCAATATTGTACTTGCTACTCCAGATAGGGCACCATATGCAATCCGAAAGCAAAATCCAATGACAAGGATGGAATATGTTTTAGTATGTGAGGAAATGAGGAGAGAGAGATGTCTGCCCAAGCTTCTCAAAATTAAAGAATGTGCCTAGCTGCATTTTCATTTACTTTTTGCAGTTGAGCTTAATAATTAAGATGACAAACATTTAAGCACAAGTGCTAAGGTTGCCCTTAGCTTTCTGATGGGGAGCCTTAGCATAATTGATAAAGTTGCTTCCATTTGACCAGGAGGTTATGGGTTCGATCCATGGAAGCAGCCTCTTGCAGAAATGGAGGGTAAGGCTGCATATGATAGACCTTGTGGTCTGGTCGCTTAGTGTACCGGGCTACCTTTTTTTATTAGATGCTGTAATAGATAGCATTCTGGAATCTATGAATGCACCTTGATTTCTTAGGTTTATCCTTGAAGCTTTTGGTTGCTCTTTTTTTTTTTTTAAAGCTCTTTAGCGAACTTGATTATCCTGAGCCACAGATGCATTTTTGTCTGTGCCATAATGAAGCCACTGATGATTATTGTTTGTGCCATAATGAAGCCACAGATAATTATTGTTTGTGCCATAATTAACTTGTCTTATAGAATATGTGCTTCAGATATCCATATGAAATCTTTGAACTTGCAATGTATGTAAAATTATTTCTGATTTAACATGCATACTGCAGTTTGTGAAACTAAAATTTCTATATAAAGCTATCTTCGGATTCTTTTTTTTTTTCCTTTCCTTTTCCCCCATTCTGGTACATAATAAAGTCTTACCAAATCAAAACGTAGCATTCCCAAGCTATATTTTCCATTTCCTGTAGTTACTTGTACCCTTTATCTTTTAGTGTTATTATTGCAGGTGTCAATAAAGTCTTATAATGCCAGATTACATAGCCTTTATGATTGTTATCCTAAGACACGTTTTACTCTGAAAGCCAAATTTACTTAGAGCAACTTCTCCTTCTCTTGCTTCCAAGTTCCTTGCAAATATTATATTTTCTATTATGTTATAAGAGCCTTGAGTAGCACTCCTTATCGCTACCATCAAGTACCCCTCCACTACACTATTTTCTTATTAAAAAATAAAATAGATAGACTATTTCACATTCAAGGACCAAGATTTAAGGGCCATAGGTAAAGGTCATGTGCATAGAGGGTTAGGATGGTTGGCAACTCCTTGATTGTGAAAATGGTGCTTCTGTACTTGGTGATGGATGCTTTTCAATCTTAGCTTAAAAGAAGTGCAATATATATGTTAATCGTACTTCTATTAGATTGATTAGTGAAGTGTTAATATCACACACGAGAAGGAACTTTATGAAGGAGAGCCCTGGCTTAACTGAAAGAGTTGTCATCGTGTGACTAGGAGGTCACGAGTTTAATCCATGGAATCCTGTTGCAGAAATGAAAGATAAAGTTGTCAACAATTAACTGAATGTAGTCCGACCCTTCCCTGACCCCGCCCATAATGGAACCTTATTATACCGGGCTGCGCCACAGGAGAAGGAATTTTATAGGCTAAAGAAAAGGTCGCAGTAGTGCCAGGCTAGTAATCTTAGTACAATGGGAATAATTTAAATACCAAATGTATCTCGTAACCAAGAATTTGTGGTGGTGAAATTTAAAAGACATGTTTGGCTGGTAGGTTTAGCAGGTTGCAGTTCCTATGATGATCTCTAATATTTGCTCTTTTTTTTTAATCTCAGTTGATTGACTCTATATTGCTCCCTTTTACATTTATTTAAGGTGGAATCTCATTCTAGGTTAGAAAGAAAATTGAACATCAATGTTTATCTAAAAGTATGGTACTTGTTAAGTATTTTCCACGTTGTTTGATGGAATGAATTGTTGTTTCCTTATATGGTTTTTAGCAATCCTAATTTCATGAGCTAATTTTTAGGGTAAAGTTAGCGTCAATTTCTATTTTATTCACCTGGAATCAGAGTGAAACACATTCTTTTGGTTACTCAATGTTGACATAGAGTAAGAATGAGGTTCTTATTCAAATCATTCCACAAACCAAAATCAGGATGAAAAGGGCTAGGGCCCCATATGTCAGACCTAATCATAATCTCGCTGAAGCATTATCTTTATATTGAGGATGATATTATGGGGGTGGAGGCCAAGAGTACTTAGTGCGCTGAAAGTATTTTAGTGGTCAAGTCCCTGTAGCATGTGAACTTGCGGCCCTTTGGTGGAGCAGAATTTAAGAATACATAGTAGAATAGATTTAGTTTATTGTGTAGCTATTGTTGTTTGTTTTCATTGAGTATCTTTATGGAACCAATAATCATGGAAGAGCAGTTTGCTGTCAGTAAGTCAGTAGATGACTTTACTATAGTCACAAGCGTCTTATTTGCTGTCTACTTATTAATTTTGGCAAGCTCTGCTTGCAATGTGCAATGTTACTTGATTCTTGGTTATGCATTAAATCTTCTTTCGTCTGAATGATGCTACAGATCTTCGTGAGGATAAGCACTTCTTGGCTGATCATCCTGGATTAGTTCCTGTCACCACTGCGCAGGTCTGGCTCCAATCTGTCAGTTGTATATTGCTCCTTTGCATAATTTTGAATAAATGGAGGGTATACTGATTTTCACATGTTCAGGGAGAGGAGCTGCGGAAACAAATTGGTGCTGCCTATTATATCGAATGTAGCTCTAAAACACAACAGGTGGGTCAAATTAGCATATCATTTCCTAAGAAATTGTTCTGCTGTTAAATTGGTGCTTAAACGGTTCCATGAATTAAAGATCGTCGTTTGTTTTTATAAGGTAAAAAAGATTGAAGAAAATCTAATAAATTTCAAAAGAAAAAGACATTTTTCAGAAACACATGTCACCGTGCTACACGTATTAATTGCTTCATTTTCAAATGCCCATGAATGGGAGGATCTTTTTAGTTCTTTGGGTGAGCTGGGAGGATATGCTAGCCTTGTGTTGATTGTGTTTGCTGCGTTGTGGGTGTCAAGTTTGTGTCAAATATGTCACTCAAATGCCTATTAGTCAACTATCTATTTAAACATAGGATGAACATCAAATATCTCTGTCTTGTTCATACTTACATCCATCAAGAATATTGGGTAGATAACAACCTCGGAAAGGATAGTATTTCCTTCTAGTTTTAGTACTTAAAGCCCCTCAACTTTTAACTATTAGAGGAGAAATTTTCTCGATGCTGTATCAGATCAGTCCTTTACTGGGATAGTTAGAAACATTTCTTTTCTGAACTACTGCAACAATCTAGTCAACTTCTTTAAGTAGTCTACTATTGTAGGTGTATGTACAATATCTTAAAATATTTGTCAAACCTCTTCTATTTTTGGTATCATTTTTAATCAACTGATTGGAAATGTTAGGGTATGCTTTCCCTATCAGAAGTTCTTTTGTCCACTTTCAGCAGACAATATCATCTTGAGGTTGCAAAATAAATTTTTCTAATGTCTATCTGCTCTGAACCATTTGGAGTTTAAAATACTGGCAGTGCATTGTGCATCGAAGTGTAGCCTAGTGGTTAATGAAGTGGGTAGGGCAATGCAATCCTCTGGATGCTGATGAGTGAAAATTACTTTTAGCTAAAAAGATAAATAGTGCTAGAGCAGACAATGTTGTAGTTTGTGACAATCTGAAATAAGCATTTACTTTTGTTCAAGCGTTTTGCTATGCCTATTTATCAAGTAATACTGGAATCTTTATTCAACTCTAGTTAGTTCAAATATTATTCAGGTCTCTGTTATAATATCCTTCGATTGAATACCAACCTGATATCCAATTCAAGTGGAAAAAAAAGAACGATTAGGCTGGATGGATAATGAATCTTTAACGCGCACGTGGTGGAGTTGCTGTTTGCGAATTTCTTGATACAGTAAGGCAACTTCATCGATGAAGCTTACTCATTGAAAGGGCATATTGGCCTCCCTTGTTTTGAAAATTAGGTCAAGATCTCTGAGTTCCGGTTCAAATTTATACCATTTAGGGACCAATTTGAAGTATTTAACATTCCAGATGCTGTTTATTTCTATTCTAACTTGTCTATGTCTAAGCATCCTCTCTTCCCCTGGATCCATACTCAAGTAGTTTTTTCCTCTCACAATTTCTTTTTCTGAAGATACTAAGGTACTGCTGTTAGTTGCTTTATGGTTGGCTACTTCTGTTTTTAATACTACACTATTTTGTAACTGACCACCTTACTTTGCCTATTTGATCTAAAGAATGTGAAAGCTGTATTTGATGCTGCAATCAAGGTCGTCATCAAGCCACCACAAAAGCAAAAGGAGAAGAAAAAACAACGTCGGGGATGTCTCATGTAGTAACTCTCTTAACCTTCTCTTTTAAAATCTGTTTTTTACTTTGGTAGCACATGGGAAGGTGCTATATGCCGTTTGTTGCATTGATGATGCACACACTTCTCCATTGACATTTTAAGTTGGCATACGGAAACAATAGTTGTGCAACTAAAAATTGAAACAATACTATGTTCAAGCCTCTATGCTTTACCAACGTGTCTCCCAGTGACTAAATAGGTCCTTTTTGAACCAAAAAAATAATAATCCCTTGGAACATGTAAATCCAATATACTGGTGCATATAAGAATCTGTTCAAAAAAACACTATTTTCAGTACTCCCTTGTGAAAGCTTGTGACGATTAAAAGAACAATTGCCTTTTGACGTGATCATTACTTTACTTGAAGAAGATATTAGTAGAAAGCATCAATTTTTTTTCTTTCCTTCTGTTCTCTCTTCACTTTTTGGAAGGAACTATGTATTGAGATCACTTGTAGGGATGCATCATGAATTAATGTTACATATGAAGCGTACTGTTTCGTAATAAAATTTAGGTAGGATAGTGTGCTTCCGTGTCACAGATTGGTCAATTCAGTTTTATCATTACAGTTATTGCTGTTGGAGTGTCTGCAGTAGCAACAATATTCGGTTTATATTCTGATTCTGTTAGCTATTTAGGCCACACTACAAAAGCGCTATGTTGCACGCTAACTTAGAAAGCATGGATCCAGTCTTCTCTTCTGAGTTCTGACCAAGGCCTATTCTAAAAAAAAAGAAAAAGAGAAAAGGTTGAAATTTCTGCTTCTGGTGAAGTAATAGACACAATGAACTGTTAAGAGTACCAGGTCCCAGCGAAAGTTTCTGGGTGTCCAAACTAAGCCCCTTTTATGACAAAATATCCATTTGACTGTGAAAGCATGTCTGTTTGATTAATTCCATGACTGACTTCTAGAGTTCGAGAGTTCTGGCCTGGTTTTGAGGGATGATGGCCAGTGTTGGCTACTTGGCTCTACCAAATGGTGAGATATCTGGCTTGTTACAAAATACCAAAAAGACAACATTTTGGCTTCCTATATCGATGCTTATAACTCATTGCGCGACATTGCCATTGTCTTAGTTATCATCTGTGCTTTTGAGCCCTCTCGAGTTTTTGCAGTATTTTCCAGTTTGTCTGTAATGCTTACTTTTCTCGCCTGTTCACTGCAGGAATGTGATGTGCGGAAGGAAGCTCGTTTGTTTAAAGTGACAACTCAATGTACATACTTCCCATCAATTCGGTCTCTAGCATGATCATATCAGTGGCTTGAGTGCACTGCTTACAAAACTTAGGTTTCTATGATAACTTTTATGACGAGACTAATGTATTTGTTTATCTGCAGTCCAACTTGTTGCTGGACGGACTTGATTTGTCATTGTAAAAATTTACATCGGTACTAGGTTAAATGCAAGTAGATGCGACTAATTCTGCTACACCTAATCTGCTGTTTACCAAAAAAGTACACCACAGACGGCATACTAAGTAGACAATAGCGCGGATGCTCATTTTTATTTTCATATTGCAATAGTAGCACTATGATTGTGCAAAATTAACTCGTTGGCGTTACAGTGGGACATCTTTGTTGGTGGTAAGGTTTCATGCCACTTACTACCATGATACCTTTAAAAGACCAACAATGTTGCAGCACAGGCTTGTGTCGTTGGTCACATTCTAAATGTTTTCACCTGAGTACGCCCACATCTATGGAATGCTGGATAAAAGCTTATCAGAGCACAACAAATGAAAGTAACACTCCTGGGCATGTGATAAAGGGAAAAGGGAATGTGAAATAATGATGGCCTACAAATAAAGTGTAACAAAAAACAACTTGCGATTACTGTGATTGATTACCTGCATAAAAGCATGTATCAAGTCTACTCCAACCGAACTGCAATCTGTTCATTGGAGTACTTGGCTATTCACCTGATAATTCGCAAAAGCATAATTCATAAGAAGGCCATTACAAGAAGCTAATGCACTGATCATCCGTTATGTCAATAACAATCATCCAAGTGTGATAAGATCAGCCATAGACTATGCCCAAAGCTCCACCGTTTAATTTGAAGTCAGAAAAAAAGTTTTTTCCTTGTTTTCAAGGACAGTTGTTGGTTCAGAATAATAGCTTGAAAGTAAACAAGCACATCTCACCACCACCAATGAAAACATCATCTTTAACAAGAGTTCTATCATCTGTGAATGAGACTACATCTAAAGTTAGAATCAATTTATAGTACAATGGCAGCCACAACAACTAAAACATGCCTGTTGAAAGCATTAGTACCAAAATTTGGTGCCAACCCCTGTATACATATGTAATGAGCAAAAGGAGGACACGGAAATGCCAAGAACACTGGGATCGACGAAAGATGATTAACAGCAAAGCACAAACAAAGCTTTCCATTTGATTCAGTCTGGAACCCGGACCTCCAATGTCAATAAATTTGGACAAGGATATCACTGATTTCACCCCGTCCTGGGCATCAAAGATTTTCAAGCTTTCCAACAGTTAAATATCTACAGAGGGAAAACTCATCGTCTGCATCCACCCAGAGAATATAGCTGACCAAAGTGCTTGCAAACCATGGAAATCCCTACTAGACTGAAGAGGTGGAGGTCGGAGACTCTGAACACATCAACCTTGCTCACTTACCACCCACCCCTGCAGAAACATACCAGAAGCTGAGAGTCTGGGGAGTTGGGCAAAGTCCATCCACCACTAGCTGAGTGAAAAGGAAAATAATAATAATAAAATGGAATATTAAAACGCAGCAACACCAAAATACAATAAAACATCTCTAAACTCGAAAAATGAACAGAACTTTTTTATCCCCAAAAGAAGGAACATAAGGAGCTTCCACTGTCTAAGGATAGGGAATAGCTCCGAGATATTGGGGAAAAGTTTAGGGCTACTAAAGGAGCTGCTTTCTTTTTCTCAGAGCATTTCCTTTCACATTGGAAGGAGAGAAGTTTAATGACCTACTGGAAATCGATTTTCAGGAGGGAGAGGAAAGCAACAGTAATGTCTTGTTAATTAGGACAGAAGACCCAAACATTTCCTACGTCTAAGATATCTTTGTTCTTGCAGAAGAATTAAATCAAACTAGAAAAAGGGATGCATGCTACAGCAGAAAACCTTTAAAATGATTATGCACAAAGATGGAAGCGAGCAGTGACTTCTATTTTTAAGTAACTATTTTTTCGGATGGTGGGAGGTGACAACCCCTTTTCATCAGGTTGTGTATCATACTTTCTGCACAGAAGTAGCTAAGCAAACATGTCAAAAATCCACAAGCTTACAGTTTGAGGTACGCAATTTAATGCATGATGTCCTGGCGCTTCCCTACATAGAAATGGCACTCAAATGCTTAAACAACGTAGGAGGCACAGGTCACAGACTCAACCGTAACAGCGAAATAGAATCTACAGATTTAAATATAAGACATGTCTCACCTTTCAAAATCACCAGATTGCAGCTTTTCCTGATCTTAGTGCCACGATTGCTTGAACCTGAAGCTCTCACTGTCCCATCCTCCCTCAGGCTCCTTCCTCTTCAGGACACCACCAGATACAGCATACATCCTACCATGCTCCTCTGCTAATGCTTGAGAACCAGCAACAGAGAGTTGCCTTGACGTCAAAGATACAGACTCCTCTCTCCCTTCCATATCCACCACTCCAGGGCCTGCATTAAGATCCAGACCCTGCCTGCCCCATTTTCTGTTGTGGTCCATGGTACCATTGCTATTGCTGTCGGGAAGGCCGACGACATATGGCCTCGGATATTGGGATGACACAGAGCCAACAGGACCCAATAACGGTGAATTTACAGATGGCGTGTAAATCCTTCCACCAGAGGAAGGATCAACGAAAGAAGTTGATCCAACTGAGAATGATGCAGAAGGAAGTGCGAAACTTGTTCCGAAAGGAAATACAGGATACTGGAAAGGGGAGGATTGGAAGGGCACAGCAGGAGAAGATGACAATACCGAGCTCCGGTAAACATCTGGTGTGAAAGGAGAACCAGCAGGACCCAAGATTCGCTGTGCACCAGGTGTGACTATTGGGAATGGCGTCTGCTCCACACGATCAGGCAAAATTGATGGAAGTGTCACAGTTGAATAAGTACTTCCAGGGGTAAACCACGAAGAGAGATTCCCCATTTCCGGATTGTTCAGTCTGAGGTTAGAAGCAGGCAGTTGAGAACGCATGCTCCCCTGATAATTATCATGGAATAGAGACTGTTCCGCGTTGGACTCATCAACACTGGGCCCATTATTTAAATCAAAGTCCCTCCTCACATCCCCAGTTGGCAAGCCAACCGTTGACGCTTTGGAAGGAAAAACAGCACCGTCCAATCTACAACTGCTACTCACAGAGCACTGTCCTGCATCACCAGGTTCATCAAGTCTATTTAAATCAAGATCAAGTCCTCCAGAACAACGAACAGCAGGAGAATCAATCACATCATTCTTCAATGAAGCACGACTAGCACTATGGCCCAAAGGAGAGATCAGCTCTAGAGCAGAATCTTGACCATTTATGTCGTCAAAGGTTCTTTCATCTGGTACATTCAGGTCGATATCTAATTGAGGGCGACTGTGCTTGCCGGTAGAAGCTTCAGCACGAGAGATGGTTGCTGAACTTAACGGCATATCAAGTGATTTTCTGGGCTCAGCTGGGCGAAATGCACTTGTGGCAGCAGAGCCTTTCCACCCAAACTCACCTTTGACCCTCAATAGCTCCTCAGGTGGAACAAACGGACCTTTGGCGGCGGCGGCTACAGTAATGGAGGCAGGCAGACTACAGGAAACTGAGGATACAGCAAAAGGCAATGGGTTCATAATATGGACATTTGATAAACATCCAGGGCCTGTAAGGTTGATTGGATCCCCGTATTTCCCCTCATCAGAAAAAAAACCTTCATTTAAGTCAAACTTCACCTTTGAAGCTGACTCTGGAGCAGCAGTAGAGACAAAAGATATCTTTGCATTGGTAGATCCGCAGTCCTTTTTTTTATCTGCTTCACCAGCAGAAAAGTTCAATTCTCTAGATTCCCCATGTTTCTGCACTTCTGCATTTGAAAATCCAGATCTATCTTTCTGATTGAGTAACAAACCAGAGTTCTGCACAGGAACAACGTTCTTCCTTTCAACACTAGCTTCACCCTTCTGATTTCTTGTAACTATGTCAGTTCCAACACGGGCTTTATCCTCAACTGAAGCTTCAATATTTGCTAAGCGCTCTTCCTTGTCACTTCCCTCCAGCTTTTCAGAATTTACCACTACCGAAGATGGTTTCGTCTCAGCACTAGCAATGTTCAACACCCTGTTCATGCCATTTTTGTTCTCACTTTCAAATTTAGAAGTGCAGACTTCAACTGATGGTTTCTGGTCTTCCAAGCTTGCAACTGTACTAGCGACCTTGTCTCCTAATACTGAAGCACCATCTCCACCTAATTTAGCATCTAAAGGACCTTCAACTTTGACCTCACGGGACACCACAGTTTCCTCATGGAATTGCTTGCTTGCTTCACCATCAATTGCCTTCTCAGATACAGTACGAGGTGAAGAAGCATACTTTTCCACCTCACCTGACTTCTCAGTGATCTCCAACTTTTCTCCAGCCGTCTGTGAATCAAAGCAGGGAGAGTTGAACTGTTTACATCCACCTGCCATTGTCTCTTGAGAAGGTGAAACAGAGGCCTTTCTATCTCCAGGTAACTCAATTGCAGCACCCATGGATGAAAGCAGTTTATCCTCGGACCATGAAGCACTAGCAATAATGAGTTCCTCTCCATTACCATCACCATCATCATTTTTACGGTCACCAGCAGTGATATCACCAGGAGGTGACTTTGACTTAGCGTCGTCGCCTGTGCAAGCCTCTTCAGCAGCAGGGGTGTTCCTATGCGAGGAAACGGAAGGTGATACCATGTTAGACTTGGACATTTCTTCAGCAGCCACACTGGCAAGGAGATTCATACCAATAGCATCACCCAATAACATAGGAACGTTCGATTCGGAATATTTTACACAGCTCTCAATCAAAGCATTCATGGGGCTGTAAGAAGCTTCGTGAAGCTTTCCGGACTTGGCTTCAGTCCCTGATGTACAAGCAGCTCTAACTTCTGCTGATCTCCTGCTGTCATCAACAATCTTGCTTCGCTCCTCCTCTGTAACAGCAGCTGGTGATCCATCTCCATCATCAGAACCAGTTAGTATATCTTTGAAATCATTACTCTGCCATGATTCAGCATTTGCCTCCAAATTTGATCGATCTGCATCAGTCTTCTCCTTTAAAGTTCGGTCAAATTGATCACTCTTCTCAGAAAGCACAGGAGAAGAAGCACGGCTGCTCATGTTCGTAGGGTCCTCATAGGAACCTCCACTGGCACTCTGCGCAGGACTGCGTCCCCTGCTAGACATCTTAACTTTCAA